CCGTTTTTTTGCGCCGAGGCCAGCTTGACCTCCCACGTACCCCTGAGGCTTGGCATTTCGCGTGCCCCCTCTCCCATCCGGCTCGTCCTAGCGGTGGAGACGATGCGCCGCACCACCCGCCCGAGGGCGCCCCCCGGAGGGCAGGACGCAGACGATGGCGGCGACGATCTTCGTAGTAGTCTATCCTCGACCACCAGGGCTGAACGAAACGGCCGAGGCAAGGGCGGCGGAGACGGACCAGGAGCAGCCGCCGCGTGGCCCGAGACCCCCTCCAGCGCCGATGGCGCGTCAACAGTGGCGGCTTTCGTCGTGGCGTGCCTCGCCGCCTCGAAGACGTCTGAAGCGGAGCAGGCTGTCGACAGGCACTTGGCGAACACCAGCCTTGCGGCTTGCAGATCCTTCTACTTCACAGTGATGAGTCAGGGTGCGAACGTCCGCTGCCCACCGGTGGTGGCGTGGTGCCTTGAGCAGCTGCAGCAGAAGGGCCACGCTCTGGACACAGGCATCTTCAACAGCGTAATGAACGCGTACGCGAAGATGGGCGACGTCAAAAGCGCGGAGCACTTCTGGCATGTCATGGAGGACTGCTGCATCAGGCCGAACATTGTGTCTTTTAACACGATGATCAACGCCTGCGCCCAGGCGCGCGACGTTAAGCGTGCGGCTTGGTGGTTTTCCGCGATCCAGTCTGCTGGGTGGCAGCCAAATCGCATCAGCTTCGGCACCATGATCAGCTCGCACGCCAAGCTCGGCAACGTGGACGAGGCCGAGGCGCTGGCCGGGCAGATGGGCGAGGCAGGGCTTCAGAGGGACGAGGTCGTGTACAACTCTCTGATCAACGCGTGCGCGAAGGCCGGCGCGCAGCAGAGGGCCGAGCACTGGATGCGGGCCATGCTGGGCGAGGGCATCGTGCCGAACCAGAGGGCCTTCAGCGGTCTCATCCAGGCCTGCGTCCGTAGCAGCGACCTCTCCAAGGCAGAAGAATGGTTCGACTGCATCGAGAAGGTCGGCGGCTCAACAGACATGATCGCCTTCAACTCGATGATCCACGTGGCCGCGAAAATCGGGAACGTGAAGCAGGCAGAGCACTGGATGTCACGGATGATGCACACCGCTTCGCGGGGGACACGGCCAGTCTCCCCCATTATCGTGCTGTTCTCGTTTCAGATCTTGTTATCCTTGTAGTTGTTCGTAGTTTTTGTATCATCATGTTTGTTCTTCATCATCGTCCTATGGTTCTTCTCCACCCCCACTTTACGTCGATCTCATGTTCTGCCTCCGCCTGTTCGTTACCCCCTCTCCCGAGTTAGTTAGCCTTCCGTTTCCTATTGTTCATCTTTTCTCTCGTTCTATTATTACTTCTCCCTCGTGCGTTGTTTTGCAATTCGCTAGGCGCACGTTTGCGAGGCGGTGGCACGGTCTATGGCGATGCGCGCACACAGCATAGAAATTGCCGCGATGCTATGTCTGCCTTCTGTCTCTTTCTCTGTTTGTCTGTCTGTCTGTTTGTCTCTCTGTGTGTCTGTCTGTCTGTCTGCCTGTCTGTGTGTCTGTCTGTCTGTCTGCCTGCCTGTCTGTCTGTCTGTCTGTCTGTCTGTCTGCCTGCCTGCCTGTCTGTCTGTCTGTCTGTCTGTCTGTCTGTCTGTCTGTCTGTCTGTCTGTCTGTCTGTCTGTCTGTCTGTCTGTCTGTCTGTCTCTCTCTCTCGTTCCTCTGTCTGTCTGCCTGTCTGTCTGTCTGTCTGTCTGTCTCTCTCTCTCTCGTTCCTCTTGACTGTTCCCCCCTCTTGTTTGTTCACTTGTGCAGCTGATCCACCACGACTGTCGGTCGTGTTTTGAACATGGACGCTGTGAATGGCCATCGCACCGTGGCGTTTCACCTGGGAGAGGGCAAGTGATTGTAGGTTTTTCGATGGAGAACACGATCGACCCACGAACCCGGAAAGCGATATGGAAACGTGAGGCATGACAACGTTTTCAAGACATTCGATCGGGCGACGGGCAATTGCAATGCTCAATGTGTCGATCTTGATGTACCGTGCCCAGGGCTGTGCTGTGCTCTGCCGTGCTGACCTGCGATGTGCCATACCCCGATTGTGCGCTATAGCGTTGTGGATCGAGTCTTCCTTTGCATTCAGGTCCTGACCGAACTGATCTGGATCTTAAGCTCGAGCTGCCTGAGCACATAGTAGCCGCCCCAGGGCTAGTTCGAACAACTCGACCTCAAAATCCGACTCAGCTCCGACAAGGATCGACACGACATGGGGCACAGGCTCACGGACGCGCCGCAGGATGTGCCAGGAGCGCAATTGCGGATGCGCCAGGGGACGTGTCAGGGGACACATCAGGGGACGTGCCCTGGACACCTGCCACGGGACGTGCCAAAGCGCGTGCCATGGGGCGGCCAGAGGACGTCATGCCAAGGGACGTTGAAAGGGGTCCGCCACGAAACGGGCATTGGAAACGCCTGGGGACGAGCAAGGAAACGCAACAGAGGACGAGCCAGGGAACGTGCCACGCCGAGTGGCGTGCTAGGGGACGTACCAGGGCACGTCACGCTTGAACGTCGCAAGGGACGCGAAAAGGGGCACGCCAGGGCGCTAGGGGACGCCCCACGGACGGGCGGGGTTGGACTGCGACGCACTCTATTGCGACAAGCGTTTCGCTCAAGACATCCTCAACAAATCCTCATATTAGACATCCGCCGGGGCGACCTGGACGCGTGAAACCAAGCGTCTCGCTCGAGGCGTTCTCAGCACCTCCCCATGCTACACATCTACCTGAGTGACCTGGACACGTGAAGACAAGCGCTTCGCTCAACACATCCTCCACACATCCTCATGCTAGACATCCGCCTGGGCGACCTGGACACGCGAAAACGAGCGGTTCGCCCGAGACATCTTCCGAACATCTTCATGTTAGACATCCGCCCGGGCGACCTGGGCACGTGAAAAAAAAGCGGTTCGCTCAACACATCCTAAAAACCTCCTCATGCTAGACATCTGCCTGGGCGACCTGGACAGGTGAAAGCAAGCGTCCCGCCCGAGGCATCCTCAGCACATCTTCATGTTAGACATCCGCCTGGGCGACCTGGACGCGTGAATACAAACTTTTCGCTCAACACATCCTCAACGCATTCTCATGCTAGACATTTGCCTGGGCGACCTGGATAAGCGAAGACAAGTTTTTCTCTCGAGACATCCTCAACACATCCTCATGCTCCCTAGCCCTTTTATCTCTCTTGCGTTACCACAGATGTTCCGCACCCGCCGTCTGCATAGTCCAGGCATCGTGCTGAAGTCGATATTTCCACGCTCCTGTGTCATTCAGAACCGCTGTTTTCAGAACGCTACAAGATTTGTGCTTGGAGTTCGACCAACGTCAACAATGTCCCTCTCCCCCCTCCCCCTGTGATAACCTACCCTCGGCGGCGTCCTGGGGGTACCGCCGCCGCGTGATGTGTGGGCCCGCGCCCGGCGATCCCAGCTCCACCGCCGTGCGCTGCGCGATGGCGCTCCGTAGCAGCAGGAAGGTCTCTCACACACCGCTGCCCCGCAAGAGAGCCGGCGGATTTCTCACGGCATCACTCCCAACGTCGTGTGTTTGAACACTCTGTTGCATGCGTTTGCCCGCAGAGGGGCCTACAAGCATGCCGTGGAGTGGGTGGCACGGATGCGGGCCCACAACGTGACTCCAAACAGGATCACGTTCAACACCATGCTGCACGCGAGCATTGCCGGTGGTGAGCCTAAGGATACCGAGCAGTGGCTGCGATGCATGGTCCAAGAAGGGCTCCACCCTGACAAGGTTACTGTCTCGACGCTGCTGACAACGAAGCGCTTGGGCATGCCCGTATCGGCGGAGCGGGAGCAGTGGGTGTACCAGACCGTGGCCCGTACCTACGAGGCGTTGGGCGACCGCCACAGCGCGGAGACCTGGTGGGGGCAGAAGTGGAAGGACCCCGGCGCGGCCCGCGGCCAGGAGGGCGGCCAGCCTCCGCAACGGCAGCAGCCCGAGCAGGCAGAGCCGCGTCAGCACCAGCAGCTGTCGCGACCCCCGGGTGACTGGGGCGAGGCTCGGCTGGACGTAAGAGTGACCCTTCGCTGGAGTGACCTCTGGGAACGGTCCCAAGGGGGCCCCCCCATCGCCGAAAGGCGATGCGATAGCAGCGTCTCGCGCGCTTGTGTTTGGTCCCCCAGCGGCCCCCAAAGAGTCGCCCACCAAAGGCCGCTCTTACCTAGGGTCACTCTTGCGTGTAGCCGAGAGGCGGGCCAGGGCCACGGCAGCAGCAGCCCCAGCCGCCCGAGGCCGCGAGACGCGAGCCCGCAGCGCCAGAGGGGCACCAGCAGCGGCGGCAGCAGCGAGGGCTGGGCGGTCCCGACGCGGGGCGGCTGGCAGGCCTGGCCGCACGGGCCCTGGGCGGCGGGCCGGCAGCCAGGGAACAAGCACCGGCATGTTTGTTTGACGGCGCAGCGCAGCAGAGGCAGTCCGCACACACGCTCGGTCGCCAGTGACAAAGTTACCACTACCACCAGCCAGGGGGGGGGCTATCCCACCCTCTCGAGCTGGTGGCACCTCGCTCTGGGCATGTCTCCAGAAAGTTCCCAGAGGGAGGTGCTACCAGCTCGAGGGGAGGGAGCGGCCACCCCCTGAGCTGGTGGTAGTGGTACTTGTGTCTCTCCTCGAGCAGTGGCGAAGCGTCTAAGAACCCTTCTGTGGTTTGTACGACATGTTATTAGAACATTTCTGGCTGGGACTATATTGTTTTAGTACATCGGCTTTACGTTATAAGAACATCGTTTTCCTTATATCCTATGGACGGGTTTATTGATCTTACTCTGACCGCGCTGGACCTCTCACCTCCCTAGACAATGATGTTGATTGTCATGATGATGACCATTGTATTGTGAGAATATGATGTGAGTATGATGGTAATGGTGAATGATGGATGAGTATGGTGACGAGAAGTATGAGGGTGATGACGATGATGATGATGCTGATGCTGATGCTGATGATGATGATGATGCTGCTGCTGATGATGATCATCATGATCATCATTATCATGATGAGCGGCTTGCTGGTTTCAGCATTCCCAGGGGGGCGCCAGGGGGTATGAGCGGGCATGTCTCGAGCGGCCTCCGTTTGCGCCCAGATGGCGGGGATGTCTCGAGCGGTTTGCCTCTTTGCATGCTCAACATCCTTTGTTTTCGGAGAAGAGTTCGAGGATGTCTCGTGCGAGGCGCCTCCTAAGGGGGGGGCGCCAGGGGTATTGCACGGCCTCCGTTCGCGCCCAGATTGCGGGGATGTCTCAGGCGGTTTGTCTGTTTGCACGCTCAACATTCTTTGCTTTCGGAGCAGACTTAGATTTTGAGAATGTCTCGTGCGAGGCGCTGGGCGGGGATGTCTCGAGCAGTTTGCGTGTTTTGGTGGCCAGACTCGTGTGCGCTCAGAGCAAATTCTGAGGATGTCTCGAGCGGCCTGATTGTTTTAGCACTCCTGGGGGGGGGGCAGGGGTGTTGCACGGTCTCCGTTCGCGCCCATATTGCAGGGATGGTCCGTGCCGTTTGCGTGTTTCCTGACCCAACATCTTCTATTTTCGGAGCAGACTTGGAGGATGTCTCGTTCGAGGCGCTGGTTGTCGCACCCCAGGGGAGCCCAGATTGCGAGGATGTCTCGAGCGGTTTGCTTGTTTTGGTGGCCAGACTCGTCGAGTGCAGGCGCTTGCATTCGCACCCCAGGAGGCTTAGATTGCGAGGATGTTTCCAGCGGTTTGCTTGTTTTGGCTGCCAGAATCGTGGGCGGATCCTCCCCAGGAGGCCCGCCCAAGGAGGCTCCAGGAGCCCCCCCAGGAAGCCACAGGAGGCCCCAGGAGGCTTCAGGGGGCAACAGGAAGCCCCGAAAGGCTCCAGGATACTCCAAAGGGCTCCGGGAGCCCCCAGGAAGCTTCAAGAGTTTCGAGGAAGCCCCAGGAAGACCCAGGATGGTCCAGGAAGCCCCAGGAAGCCCCAAGAATGCCACAAGAGGCTCCCCCCGAGAAGCTCCAGGAAGCCCCAGGGAGTTCCAGGGGGCCCCAGGAGGTCCCAGGAGGCCTCAGGAAGCCACAGGAAGCGCCAGAAGGCCCCACAAGGCCCCAGGAGGCCCCAGGAGGCCCCAAGAGGCTCCAGGAGGCCCCAGGAGCGGCTCCAATCCTATGCGTTTTATTTATGTTCCTATAGATCAGGCCTCTCCTGGGGCACGAATCCTTTTTGTTTTATGTATGTTCCTATAGTTTGTCTTTCTCCTGTGGCTCCAATCTGAGGTGCCTTACGTATGTTCCTATGTATTGGGCGTCCTGTGGGGCACGAATCCTTGGTGGTTTACGTCTGTTCCTATAGCTCGTCTTTCTCCTGTGGTTCCAATCCTAAGTGTTTTACAGATGTTCCTATAGATTAGGCCTCTGCTGGGGCACGAATCCCCCCCAGGAGGCTCCAGGAAGGCCAAGGAGGCCCCAGAAGCTCCCAGGAGATTTCAGGAAGCCACACGAAGCCCCAAGAGGTCCAGGAAGCCCCAAGAGGCCCCAGGAGCTCCAGGAGACTTGAGGAAGCCCCAGGAAGCCCCAAGAGACCCCAGGAGGATTCAGTCACGGTCAGTCATCCTCAGGCCATTGACGTGCAGACACTCTCACCCTAAGCTTAGCCATGCACAGGCTCACGCGCATAGACTCACTCGTACTACTGGGGCTTGTACACACTCAAAGTCATTCACAGTTAGACTCTCTCCCAGGCTGTCAATATCCAAATTCGTTTATATTCGAAATTTATTGCGCCTGGACATTCACGGCGGAAATGCCAATGCAAGGAGATGCACATATGGGGAGCTCCACGCAGCGAATAATTGTTCTTAGAACATGTCTGGGTTCTGGGAACACGTCGTGGCAGGCCTACAGGAATGTCGGGGCGGCAAGTCCCTGATCGATCTCCTGAGACGGCACTGCAAATCGACCCGGCAGCAGGGGTTGGCAACAAAGGGCGGGGGAGGAGCGGCCGCGGCAGGGGGAGCAGGAGCTGGAGCGCTCACGCGGCGGGGCCCGCCGCGGAGCGGCCAGGGCGGCCGGCCGGTGCTGCACCCCTGACAACGACGTAAACTTAAGTCGGGCCTGTCCCTCTACAGGAGGAACATTCAAGAATAGTGATAAAATAGTCTGGGGAGGATGTTTTCGTACTTCTGGGCATTTCTTGTATCTGGTGACTATATTTTTTTGTCCAAAATCCCCCTGTAGGGGGACACGCCCGACTTAAAGCTAGAGCGCTCACGCGGCGGGCCCGCTGCGGAGCGGCCGGGGCGGCCAGCCCGTGCTGCACCCCCGACAACGACGTAAACAGAAGTTTCTGGATCTCCGCGCAGATTCCTTGGATCAGCGCTGGGCCCCCTTCGGGGCGCCTCCCGCGTCGCCCCTGGCGCACTCCGATGTCAGAAATCAGGAAGGGCCTCTGAAAGTTTCTGCTTACGGTGGGGGCGCTTGTTAACGAACGTGCCCAGGATGCTTCAGACCCTGGAGGCTTCCTTCTCTGATGAGGGCGGCGGTGATATCCATGGCCAATCCACGATTAGGCTTCCACCGGCTTCCAGACCCTGGAATTTCTTATCTAAGGGTTCCTTATCCAATGCCCCCACCGTATACCATTGCCTGTTCCCTCAGGCAGACCAGCGGGTGGGCGTCCAGCAGCACCGCGACTGCCATTCCGAGCATGCTGGCGGCCGACCCGGCCTACACGCTCTCGAGCTCCACGCTCTCGGTCGGGTTCTCCAGGCAGCACTCGCAGGAGGTGCCGAGCGCCGAGCACCTGCCGCAGCTGAGCGACGAGGGCGGCCAGCCCTGGGGGACGGCGGGCCAACACACGGAGATGGACAGCCAGTGGCAGCTCGCAGCCATGCCGTGGCCGCTGCTCGCAGCGCCGCCAGACTCCGCGAGGTGGGGCTACGACCCAGACGTGGGCTCTGGCCACATGGGCGACGACAAGGCTGGGGTCCATCGGGTTTTTCGCCTATAGGCCTCGATCGTGCCATGCGCCAGGGGTGCGTACCGGCAGCTCTGGCATGCCAGCCCCGGTGCTGATGTTCCAGCTTTGGCCGGTGAGGGCCCCAGCCAGTGAACTCAGCCCCCGAAGTGGTCTTGAGCAGGACTCCCCCCAGACCCGAGGAGAGGAGGTCGAGGGGGAGGAGGCGGAGGAGAAGGATAGGGTAGTGGAGGGGGTCAGTGTCTACACGGCCCCTTGGCGTCCTGGCCGAACAGGCCATTCCGCCGCGCGTTTTGCGCGAAGTTCAATCTGTGTGTACCCCCGAAGTGGTCTCAGACCCGAGAAGAGGAGGTCGAGGGGGAGGAGGCGGAGGAGAAGGATAGGGTAGTGGAGGGGGTCAGTGTCTGCACGGCCCCTTGGTCACCTGGCCGAACAGGCCATCCCGCCGCGAGTTCTGCGCGGAGTCCAATCTGTGTGTACCGCAGCCACACCCACATTATGTTGGGTCCTGCTGGCTTGGTAGTCCTGCAGCGCTATTTCGGCGGCGCGCGGGAGGGGGGTCGCGGCAGGGGCGGAGGGCCTCGCACAGGGGCAGGTGGCCTCTCGCAGGGGCCCTTGCGTCTTCCAGGATCCGGGCAAGATCTGAACGGTCTGACGGGCCTGTTTTCCACCACCGCCACCATACGTTGGAGGGGGGAAGTAGGAGGAGGACAAGGAGGAGGAGGACGAAGAGGAGGAGGAGGAGGAGGAGGAGGAGGAGGAGGAGGAGGAGGAGGAGGAGGAGGAGGAGGAAGAGGACGGATGGGGAGGAGGAGGAGGAGGAGGAGGAGGAGGAGGAGGAGGAGGAGGAGGACCCCCTCCCTCTCCAATTTCTGGTGGTGGTGGTGGTGGAAAACAGGCCCATCACGGCCGGTAACTTTTAAACACCGCATCGCTCCGGCATTTCCTGCCCGCGTCGTTGCGACACCCTCTACGTTTTTCCCAAGGTCACCAGGCGTGCGCGTCCCGAGACTTGCCCAGCCTCCCGCCCCCGCGGAGCGGAGCGACACGCTGTCCACTCGCAGGTTGCAGCGTGTGTCGGCGGGGCCGCCGCCGCTGCGCGCTGAGCAAAAGTAGCCCGACCGTGTCCAAATCCATGGCGTCTCGAGGTTTTCGGACCCGACTGGAATTCCGAGGCGCGGTGGCCACGCGCAAATCCCCCAGATGTGGGTACAACTCCGAAGCTTCCGACCACTCCTGCGAACCAGAGGGGGAAGCCGTGTAGACATACTCTTTGGAGCTCCGCGCGGATTTCTTGGGCTGGCGCTGAACATCCCCCCCTGGCGCGCGGAGCGTGCCAGGGACGGCGCCGGAGGCGCCGCCAGGGTGGCCCAGCGCCGATCCAAGAAATCCTCACGGAGCGCCAGATGTTTGTGTCTATGTCGCTAGCTGTTCCTCTAGACTTCAGTTGGGCGTGTCCTCCCACAGGCGGGTTTTGGAAGAAACATACCAAATACGCAAAAATATCCCCGAATAGTTTAAACGTGTTCCAAAAAACGTCACCTCATTATTTCTCCCAACCATCATGTGGTGTTGGGTCCTCGTTTTGAAGAGACGGTGCCCCGCGTCTCCTCCTCCCGCTGCCCCCTCCCTCCTCCCTCCTCCCCCTCCTTGCCTCTGCGCTCGGCACACCCCTCACACGTTTCGTAGCCCCATAGGGAGCTCCACCAAAGGCCCCAGTGGCTGCTCTCGCATGCGGTTCCCCCACCCAGGGCAGCGTTTCGTGGCCCTATAGGGAGCTCCACCGAAGGCCACAGTGGCTGCTCTCGCATGCGGTTCCCCCGCCCAGGGCAGCGCTCCGTGGCCCCATAGGGAGCTCCACCGAAGGCCCCCGTGGCGCAGTTCGCATGCGGTTCCCCCGCCCAGGGCAGCGTTTGGTGGCCCCATAGGGAGCTTCACCGAAGGCCCCAATGGCTGCTTTCGCATGCGGTTCCCCCACCCAGGGCAGCGCTTCGTGGCCCCATAGGGAGCTCCCCCAGTGGCTGCCAGGGCAGCAGCTTCGTGGCCCCATAGGGAGCTCCACCGAAGGCCCCAGTGGCTGCTTCGCATGCGGTTCCCCCACCCAGGGCAGCGTTTCGTGGCCCCATAGGGAGCTCCACCGAAGGCCCCAGTGGCTGTTCGCATGCGGTTCCCCCACCCAGGGCAGCGTTTCGTGGCCCCATAGGGAGCTCCACCGAAGGCCCCAGTGGCTGTTCGCATGCGGTTCCCCCACCCAGGGCAGCGTTTCGTGGCCCCATAGGGAGCTCCACCGAAGGCCCCAGTTCGCATGCGGTTCCCCCACCCAGGGCAGCGTTTCGTGGCCCCATACGGAGCTTCACCGAAGTCGTCAGTGGCTGCTCTCGCATGCGGTTCCCCCACCCAGGGCAGCGTTTCGTGGCCCCATCGGGAGCTCCACCGAAGGCCCCCGCGGCGCAGTTCGCATGCGGTTCCCCCGCCCAGGGCAGCGTTTCGTGGCCCCATAGGGAGCTTCACCGAAGGCCCGCCCCAGTGACGCGCGCATGCGGTTCCCCCACCCAGGGCAACGTTTCGTGGCCCCATAGGGAGCTCCACCGAAGGCCCCAGTGGCGCAGTTCGCACGCGGTTCCCGCATCCAGGGCAGCGTTTCGTGGCCCCATGGGGAGCTCCACCGAAGGCCCCAGTGGCGCAGTTCGCATGCGGTTCTTCCGCCCAGGGCCGCGTTTCGTGGCTCCATGGGGAGCTCCACCGAAGGCCCCCGTGGCGCAGTTCGCATGCGGTTCCCCCACCCAGGGCAGCGTTTCGTGGCCCCATGGGGAGCTCCACCGAAGGCCCCCGTGGCGCAGTTCGCATGCGGTTCCCCCACCCAGGGCAGCGTTTCGTGGCCACATCAGGAGCTCCACCGAAGGCCCCAGTGGCGCAGTTCGCATGCGGTTTCCCCGCACAGGGCAGCGCTTCGTGGCCCCATAGGAAGCTCCACCCAAGGCCCGCCCCAGTGGCGCAGTTCGCAAGCGGTTCCCCCACCCAGGGCAGCGTTTGGTGGCCCCATAGGGAGCCCCACCGAAAGCGGCACCCACAACGCGTGACGAACAATTGCTTATGGTTGGGTCCTTCGCAAGGATAAGCTGACTATTTTGGAGTATTCCTCCTGCAGAGGGACAGGCCCGATTTACGTGTGGAGGTGCCCTCTGAGTTCTCCTCGGCAGGCCGCCCTCGCCTCGGCCCCTCCTCTGCGCGGGCGCCGCCCCATCGCCCACGGGGGGCTGCGCGCTTTACTTTTGTGCCCCACGCACGACTCCGCAGAATTTTTCAAGCAGTGTTCGAGTTCCACTCACGCTGCACTCCTGGACAACGGAGCCATCGCCAGAGATGCGGCGATCTGATCGAGGAGTCGGTTTTCAACATCCTCGTATTTCGACCGGGCATTCCGTGGTGGTGTGTCGATGGTTACTCCCTGCGCTCGCGGTCGCCGCACGCTATCTCCGAAGACTGCGCACGCCCCATTGCCCATTCACGACTCGTCAGTTTTCTGTTTAAAGTGTTAGAGCTTCCGCTCACACTACAGTCACAGACAACGGTGCTATCACCAGATATGCGGCGACCTGATTGAGGCGTAGTTCCTTCATCGTAATGTTCCGACTCGGCATTGTTGTTGGTGTGTGTCATTGCTCTCAACTTGGTCTTGCGCGACCACCCTTCCGTCGCACTCTGCCTTGCTACATTTTCGTACTCCCATACGTCCTTCGTCGTGTTTTTTTCACAACGTGGCTCCCCAGAGGTCTGGACCCCTTCCCAGGGATTGGTTTTTCATCCTGAGTTGTCGTTGAAGGTCCCAGGGCCCAGCAAGGGCCCCTGGAGACTGAAACTGGCCGAAAACCGCCCGTCGTGATTCTCGCACGACGTGAGGATGTCAGGGCTTGGAAAGCCAGCTTAGTTCGGCGCCTGTCGGAAGTAATCTTGGGGCTGTTGCGGTTCCGATTTACTTGTGCCACTGACTGCGGGGAGCCGCACTGCCGCGCTTGTCCGCCGCGGCGACTGGGGGTGGCGATGGAGGGCGGGCGGGGACTAGGGGAGTACGAGAAGGAGGAGGAGGAGGAGGAGGAGAAGGAGGAAGAGGAGGAGGACGAGGAGGAGGACGATGAGGAGGAGGAGGAAGATGAGTACGAGGAGGAGACGGGGGAGGAGAAGGAGGAGGACGAGGAGGAGGAGGAGGAGGAGGAGGACCAGTGTAAACACAATAGTCATCAACGATGTAGGAAGAAACCCTCGTTCCAAGCTCCCTCTTTGCAGGCCCCTGCAACCGCTCATTTCCACTGAGGGAGCTGCGTCGATGGAAGATAACCGTTTGAAGACCCTGAAGCATGCCAAAAAATGGTCCTCGGGATTCCAACGCCCCGGATCCAACGCCACGGATCAACTTGACTGTTGCGTCTTGACGATCCTGAATCGTGCCAGAACGCCATTCCTGGGACGTCAACATCACCAATCAACGTAATTGTTGCACCCTCATAATCCTAAGTCCCCCCAAACAAAGAACACCATTTCTGGCACGCTGATCATGGGAATTCGTGAAACTCTTGCAACTGTGGATAAAACGAATGTTCGCGGCGCTAAGGCGAGAGCCACATTTGGACAAGGAGCCGCCCTCACTCAATCCGTGAAGCTCTTGCAATGTTTTAAGCCGAATGCACGCGGCGCCAAGGCGAGAGCCACCGCCCTCGATCCGCGACATGCTTGCCATTGTTTAAAACACGAATGTGCGCCGCGCTGAGGCGAGAGCCACATTTTCGAAACGGGCCGCCCTTCATCTGCGAAACTGTTGCCAAGTGTTAAGCTTCAGGATGAACAATATCAGGGTTAAGCTTCGTCTGTTGCCATAAACGGTGAGAAAGTATCAGGCGGAACGCCTGGCCCGTCCTAAAAATTGGCCTCGGGGTGCAACAGGGAGAAGTTATTAATAGGGAATAGGAATGAATAAGGAGGAGAAGGAGGAGGAGGAGGAGGAGGAGGAGGAGTACGACGAGGAGGAGGAGGAGGAG